TAGAGCTGAGGAAAAAGGGGTTCCCCACTGCAACTTGGAGTAATAATGAGGAAAAATGGGGTAAAATTAAAGGAAAAATGGATTTTTGGGGTGTATTTTAGGTATAATGTGAGGAAAAACAGATTTCTATCACAATTTCTGGGTCAAAACTGAAGGTAAAAGGGTCCCGTGTCCATTTTTGGGGTTAAAAATGGGGAAAGAAAGGATTCCCTGCTTCACTTTGGGGTAGAACTGCATCCATGGTTCATTTTGGGTGTAAAATGGAGAGAAAATAGGTTTTCCACTCAGTTTTTGGGGCTAAAACTGAAGGCAAACTGTGACCGGAGTCCATTTTGGGTATAAAATAGGGGAAAAAAGGGTTCTCTTATAACATTTTGGGGGGTGAAACTGAGAGAAAACTGGGTCTGTGGTGTATTTTGGGTGTAAAATGGGGAGAAAAAGGGGTTCTCCAGTCCATTCTTGGGGTTAAACTGAGTGAAATCTGCATCTATGTTCTATTTTGGGTGTAAAATGGAGGAAAAAGGGGCTCTCCAGTCCATTTTTGGGGTAAAACAGGGAAATTTGGGGTGTAAAATGGAGGAAAGAGGGCTTCTCCAGTCCAATTTTGGGGTAAAACTGAGCGAAAACTGCATCCGTGGTTCATTTTGGGTGTAAAACAGGGGAAAAAGAGGGCTTCTCCAGTCTATTTTTGGGGGTTAAACTGAGCGAAAACTGCATCAATGGTTCATTTTGGGTGTAAAATAGGGGAAAAAGGGGCTCTCCAGTCCATTTTCGGGGTGAATCAGGGCAATTTGGAGTGTAAAATGGAGGAAAGAGGGCTTCCCCAGTTCATTTTTGGGGTAAAACTGAGTGAAAACTGCATCCGTGGTTCATTTTGGGTGTAAAACAGGGGAAAAAGGGCTTCTTCAGTCCATTTTTGGGGTAAAAGAGGGCAATTTGGAGTGTAAAATGGAGGAAAGAGGGCTTCCCCAGTTCATGTTTGGGGTAAAACTGAGCCAAAACTGCATCCATGGTTCATTTTGGGTGTAAAACAGGGGAAAAAGGGGGCTTCTCCAGTCCATTTTTGGGGTAAAAGAGGGCAATTTGGAGTGTAAAATGGAGAAAAAAGCGGTTCTCCAGTCCATGTTTGGGGTAAAACTGAGTGAAAACTGCATCAATGGTTCATTTTGGGTGTAAAATAGGGGAAAAAGGGGCTCTCCAGTCCATTTTCGGGGTGAATCAGGGCAATTTGGAGGGTAAAATGGAGGAAAGAGGGCTTCCCCAGTTCATGTTTGGGGTAAAACTGAGCCAAAACTGCATCCATGGTTCATTTTGGGTGTAAAACAGGGAAAAAGGGGCTCTCCAGTCCATTTTCGGGGTGGATCAGGGGAATTTGGAGTGTAAAATGGAGGAAAGAGGGCTTCCCCAGTCCATTTTTGGGGTTAAACTGAGC